CTAATGTCGTGTCGTCTACGTACTTCCACGAGTGCCCTTCGGATGGTTTAAAGTCATTGATCATCAGAAGAAATAACCATGATCCTAATTTCGTACCCTGTGCAACTCCAGATGGAACTGCACCCCATTCAGAGAAGCAATCGTTGGAAAGTTTGACGCGTTGCAGCCTGTTCGATAAAATTCGCATACCCAGCGAACTACACTGCGTGGAACAGTCAGAGAAAGGATCTTTTTAACTGGATCCGGTGATTTTTAAAGGATCCGGTGATCGATGAGATGAAATGCCTTCCTGTGGTCTAGCAACACCAACTTTACCGCTGCACCTGTTCCGTCAGTGGCAGAAGCCCATGTATGAATCATGGAAATAAGGGCAGGCGTAGTAGATGATGCGCCATATTGGTTGGGATCAATGATCTCAAGGACGGCAGGGCCGATATAATATCTTAAGATAAAGTCCTCAGCTAGTTTTGATAGAGGTGGAGTTAGCGAGATAGGTCTGATGTGCTTGGTAATTACAGTCACAGGTTTCGTCTTTGGTAATGGTGTTACATTGGGGTACTTACATTTCAGAGGGAGGGATATGTGCATTTGTTCTACGTCAATAGTATGGAAATGTACAATTTGTATGGATGATCAAAAAATCCATTCTATTTCCAATAAATTAAGGTCCATACAATTTTCATTTTAAGTTTTCAAATTTGTTTCTAATGTTAGATAAAACTAATTGTTATCCAGAAACTTTTTAAGATTTCTGGTAAATATATGAATAGACATAGGCTGTTAAAGATCATCGGGTAGGAAGTATGTGATTTATATTTACTTACTTTGGGAAGAGTCAGCAAATTACCGTTTCTCTTGTTGTTCACATTGAAGGTAGTTAAAGGCGCTCTAAATTTATCAAAGTGTTTTGGAGCGTTTCTTTCATTGCATTGTGAATATCAACACATCGATGTCCAAAACGTCTTCCCTCCAGCGGAATCCAATTCAGCACCGCCACTGTATCATCATAAGACAGTTTGCGGATATCTACGATTTTCCTTGGTTTTCCTTCTGATTTCATTCCAGGTTGGTTTCCCCAAACAGTGTCTGCATAATCTAAATGTGGCTTATATATTTTATTATTATTATTATTATTATTATTATTATTATTATTATTATTATTATTATTATTATTATTATTATTATTATTATTATTATTATTATTATTATTATTATTATTATTATTATTATTATTATTGTTATTATTATTATTATTATTATTATTATTATTATTATTATTATTATTATTATAAAATCTATTTTAAAAAGTCACCACATTCCTGACGAAATCACTGGTATGATAGAAAACCTTTACACTGATTATGGTATCTCAATCTTGACGAACAATTTTATAACCATACCGATATCTCCGTACTGCAGGGAGACTGTTTGTCCCCCTTGCTTTTCAATTTATGCGTGAATTCACTCATTAACACGATAAATGATGAAAGGATACTGTGCCTTGGTTATGTTAATGATATATCCTTAAACCGTCGTCATTGGTTCCAATTTGCGGACGATGCTGCAATTATATCTGCACATAACAAAGACAATCAACTACTGTGTAATGCATTTATTAAATGATCCTCTTGGGCAGACTTATATTTCCGAGTAAATAAGTGCCACACTTTTGGGATAAAAAAGTTTGGGACAAAAGCAGTCCAGTATAACCTACTATAAAAATCTCTTGTCAACAGGTTCCCCCAATCGAAGATGGTGAAAGTTTTATGTATTTAGGTAAACAATTCAATTTTGAAATGAATTGTACTGAAACCAAAATTAAGATCCTTGATGAAATCCAACACTACTTAAAGAAAATTGATCTTATCCCAATAAATCCCTTTTCCAAAATTCGCGTTGTTCAAAGTTATGTCTACTCAAAGTTCTTCTGGCGCTTTTCAATCTACCTGTTTACTACAAGCTGGATACATTCTAATCTGGACTCTATTATTTCCAAATATATCCGAAAATGGCTCCAGATCCCAATCAGCGGTAACATTAGCCATCTAAAGCTTCCTAAATTACAACCGGGAATTGATTTCTGTTCCCCCTCTGATATATATATATATATATATATATATATATATATATATATATATATATATATATATATATATATATATATATATATATATATATATAATCAATGTAAACTGACAGTGCGCAGAATCTTGAGGACTTCTGTCATCTCCGATATTCAACAGCTATATACCAAAACGTCATAAAAAAACATCGTCACTGATGATATTATTGAACGGGCGGCTGCTGTTATCTCTGAACAGTATATGTTAAGAAACGCTGCAAAGAAGATTCTGGTATAGAAAAACCTTAACGAAATTTGGCCAAACTTTGTAGAACTAAAAGAACAATCCGTTATCATTACCTGCTTAACTGATACTTGCTATAAGAAGATGATTAAAGTATGGCACGAAATTGTCACTCGAATGCCCAGCAGTATAATATGCTTTGCTAGGAGAGCGTTAATTTTAAGTTTAGGAAATAATTCAAACCTAAAGCGTTGGAACATTCGTGACTCCGCCAACTGTGAGTTGTGCAACAAGTTACAAACCCAGCTACACGTTTTTTCCAACTGCAAGGTAGCCCTAGAACAACAACGCTAGACTTGACGGCAGGACTCGATTCTGATGACTATTAATCATCACTTAAAAATCGCATTTGGTGCAGATCTTCGTCTGTTTGCAGACTGTCCTAATTCAGGTACGACGTGTACTTCAACTTTATTTCGAACGCTAAGACCTGATATAATGGTGGATTTTAAGGGTTCTGTATATGTGGTTGAATTAACTGTTCCCTGCGAAACAAATTGTACGACGTCTAAACGTCGCAAGAAAGAAAGATACAGACATCTAAGATCTGAGCTGATCACGACGTGTTTTGCGTTTGAAGTTATTACACTTGAAGTAACCACTCTAGGTTTTGTGTCGAAAGATACGATATTGACAGATTTCGTAGATTATTAGTAATACCATTAAAAGTATTTACATCTTGTCTTCGAAACGCAATATATTCCTTCCTCGCATCCAATAACTTTATCGAACACCGCATACAAAAGGGCTTCACCCCTAACCTATATGGCACTCTAGAACACACTGCGCAAATGGCTGACATCATTAATTAACAAAGCCCGCATCAGACAACGCTCTGTTATCATCACCCTACTTGATCTGAAGAATGCTTTCGGCGAAGTCCACCACAATCTCATCCAATCAGTACTCGACTACCACCACATCCCAGAACACATAAAATTCGTTATAAAAAGTTTATACACTGAGTTACAAACCTCAGTAATTACCTCCGAATTCCTCACCCCTTTTATATCTGTTGGCGTGGCGTATTGGAAGGAGATTTCCTCAGTCATCTTCTTTTCAATATGCGTTTTAATACTTTCATCCAACATATAAAACCTGAAAAGTACCGTCAGTTTGGCTTCTCCTTCAAGCTGTTAAATCCTATCCACTGGTTCCAGTTCGCTGTGACGCAGCCGTAATCACTGGCCAAGAATCTGAAAACCAGCATCTCTTAAATTGTTTTTCCATCTGGTACCAATGGTCCAATATGATTATCACAGTCGATAAATGTGGTACCTTTGGCATCAAGAAAGCCATCAAAAAATCAGACCAATATTTGCCGAAACTCCTCATCAACAATAATCTGATACCAACAATAAAGATTGGAGAAGAATTTCAATATTTAGGACGTTACTTTGATTTTAACATGTCGAATAATAACCATAAGACTGAAATAACCACCCTCGTTAATGAACTAATGACTGATATTGACTCGAAGCCACTCCACCCAAGAAATAAGCTTCTCGTGTACAGTCGTTATGTCTTATCCAAATTATCCTGGCATTTCACGATCGCAACACTTTCTAAAACATGGGTTATTGAAAATATTGATCCCGTAAATGTATCAACCAATACATCCGTAAATTGCTTGAAATTCCAATCTCAAGAACACTAAGTACTGTTTTTCTAACTTGTAACAAATTTGGTCAAAGTATTTATCCTCAATCGATGAAATTTATCCAATGCCAAACAGTTCTTCGAAAAGCTTTAAAACTTTCTCCTAATCAATCAATTAACGAACTGTGTTTTATATCTGATAAAACACTCCTATGCGTGTTTAAATAGTACATAAATTTCCACTCAATAATTTCCATCTCCAACACCCACAACATAGTATGTATGGCACGGCAGTACAATATGTACAACATTCCACACAGTAAAGCATGGCCCAACAATATGCACCGTGCAGTGCATTATTGTAGTGTGTAGTACATACAGTATGTCTACATTGTACTTATTTGTTCCATACTTTTAATATTGTGTTCTGCCAAACTGTACTGTACGATGCGCTTCTGTATTATATATATATATATATATGTATATATATATACATATATATATATATATATATATATATATATATATATATATATATATATATATATATATATATATGTATATATATATATACTATATTGTGAGGCCATGCATACTACATTATTTTGCTCTATACTGTATTGTACCATTCTGTTTTCGTCTGTTTTTTGGTGCCTTCTGTTTGAGCCATGCTATACTAGAGCATGCTTCTCTCTGTCATACTGTACTGTTTTATAGAGTGCTGTAATGTATTGTACTACTCGGCCATACTGGTCTGTCTTGGGCAGTGGTACTGTACATTATAAAACAGAAGAATACAGAATGGCACAATTAAGTGTAGAGCAACACCATGCACAATGTAGTATAATACAGTATAATACAGCACCACACAGTAGTGTCGATAGTACAGTACTACAGTACTACAGTATATTGGCAGAACACAATATTAAAAGTATGGAACCAACCAGTCAATATAGACATATAGGATGAGTAACACATTACAGTAAGACACCACACAGTGCAGTTTTTACAAAAGTAGCAGGTATGCAAGCGACCATGTTTTGGCCAGGTATACAAGCGGCCATTCGAGAAACATGTCAAGCTTGTCGCACTTGCGCGCAGAATTTGACTCAAAGACCCGCAGAACCAATGCAGTCTCACGTGGTACTGTGGAGTAAAGTAAGCGTTGATCTATTCAGCTTCGATGGAAAACAATATCTTGTCACTGTAGATCATTACAGTGATTTTTTTACCGGAAATTTAGTAACGGAAATTGCGAGGCATTATTCCAACAATTTCTTCCCAACTAAAACTAAGACATATTCCGTACGACGTTGCGGTTGATGATATTGCAAGAAGAAGTGTCAGGTCCAAATTGTATTACGACCGTAATATAACAACGCCATTGAAAGAATTTTCACGAGATGAAAATTATTCGTGAAGCCGAATCCCAGTAATAAGCATAAACCTTGGATGTTTGGGGAAGTGATTGACAAACCATCTCCACGATTATGCGTTGTACAAACCGTGAAGGGTCAAATCCGTCGGAAGCATAGACAGATAAGAGGAGCTATGGTGGAACCAGAACCAATGAATCAATCGGAAACAGCTATCCATGAGGACGAAGTAATTGAGCCATTTGTCTCAAGAAAGACGACTCCGGAATTGATATCCCAACCTCACATACATATGGAATTACCGAGCTCAGACCCTGTGCAGCAATTCCCAAGAAACAATGATTAATCAAAACAGAGCCAATGAATCAATCGGAAACACCTATCCACCATGACGAAGTAATTGACCCATTTATCGCAAGGAAAACGACTCCGGGATTGATATCCCAATTTCACGTACAGATGGAATTACCGAGCTCAGACGCTGTGCAGCACTCCCCAAGATCAGAAGCACCAATTGTTTAGACGGAGGGAGAAGGAGCTGTAAATCTACGTCGCTCAAGAATGACTCGAAAAATGCTAGCTAAGTTCAAGGACTTTATAGCCTAATTATAAAGACAATCAATCATTAACATTTATTCTCTTTAATTTAATATTTATGTCAATGAGAGGACTTACCAACATTATGTTTTCGTATAGAAAAGAGGTTTTGTTGGTTCTAGTTGATCCGTATATGCTAGTTATGTTTATAAGTTAGGTTATGTTAATTACGATATGTGTATAAAAACTTTGTAAGACTATACTTCAAGTTGTTATTAAAATGATGCATGTGTACCAGTCTCGGTGAATATTCAGCGGTAATATATTTAGTGGTAAATATTTAGCAGTGTCACAGGCATATTGACCTGTTTGAATTTCTCACATCGCACCGAAAGCAACCATAAAAATTGTTCACGATTTTAAATGTTCCTTTATCAATAATATACTGTAGCCTTTTATCTATTCGGCCTTAAGGGTACATGTCAGTAAGATTACCGTCATAAATGACGAGTGTATGTCGACACAACAATTGCACAGTTTGAACCTTAATCCGATTTATTTATTCGTCCTTTTTAAAAAATAGTTACTCATGTATTATTGACTTTCTTTAGGGAACAATAAACATGAATATATCTTCTATTCCAACGCAACACACATTTCCTATGTTTCTGTTGATGGTGGCGAATCTACGGCTGTTCTATCGGCACAAAGTGCAAATCTAGGTTACGACGAGCAAAACTACCGCCTCTGGTATTTTGGTACGGTGGAAGCTACTCTCTACAACGCAAACTTAGATGCTAGCGGTTTGGAAACTGTGTCCGTTCCATCAACCTTTGGTCAATTTACAGTTGATGGCGTGAATCAAAATATCTACTACCTGAACGAGAACGACGACACCGTTAAATCAATTGATTACAGTGGAAAACACTTTCCAGAGATTGCTGCATTACAGGGCGGCAATGAATTTCAGGACATACAAATTGACCCCTATAGCAGGTAGGTTAAAATATAATTCGCCAGCGTCTGTGTATGATAGGAGTTTGTTGATGGAATACAAAAAATTAAAAGGAAGCTTATAATCTTATATTTTAAACCTAATCAGAAACAGTTGCAATTCCACTGCAGCGCTCTAACCAACTGAGCTACAGTTATCAAACTCTTGCCACAATTGCAAGTTCTTGAATATATATTTAAAAATGATGTTATGTAATCATCTAATAATTCATGACGAAAGGACAAGCAAAATAACTGCTGTGTCGGTGGTCTTACATGTGATAAAAATCATGTTCATTTACAACTCAGTTTTGATCTTCTTGTTTTAGACAACTTTTTTTAATTACTTCGCAAATGAACTCGTTATTTAAAACACTCACAGTTCGTTTTTTATCAGATATAAAACATTTGAGCACTGCACCAGAATGCTGCAGGTTTGATTCCTCTCAAAAGACCAGTAGTTGCTTTTTCACAGCTGCTCATGTTTAAGTCAAAGTGACTAAAATTTATAATCAAAATTATTATCTACAAAAGTCTTCAATAACCAGTCATATCAAGGGAGATGCCGAAAACATGGTATCACCTTAATACATGTGCATGTACTTCCAGTTAATGCTCTACAGCTCAGTAGCTCACTTCGTTACAACGCTGCACCTAAATAGCAGTGCTGCAAGTTGAATTCCTGTCAGAGTGCCAATTGTTGCATTTTTAGGTCTAGAATATATAATAATAATAATAATAAGCAAGCATTTATTTGTACCAAAAATAAAAATTATTTACATTTATCCAATTTTTTTGTAATCCCCAATCCGCGCCGTTGCGGGCGTAAGCCTGTAGCGAGGGTACTTATTCCACCCGGCAATTTACACCGGGAAAAACGAAAGCATTAGCGAAGTCTAAAGTTCATAAATGATCGCAGGCGTGGGTGATCAACGATGTTGGTTGGGTGGTCATCCTCACTGATTTCAAAAATATGACGGACTTTCATGAATAGCAAACACTGATTGGTCAAATTAAAAATTTGCATTATAACTATTACATGACGACAGCGAAATAGCAATCATTTCTTGATTCGATGATCAAAGAGTAAATTAAGATACTTCCTTTAATAATATATACTTCCTCTGTGATATGATGAATTCTTGCAAATATATTTCATTTTGGCAAGATTTCGTGATTTTCAAAAAGTTTTTAAGAAAATAAAGGCGAAAGAGTAAAGTTTTTAAGAAAATAAAGGCGAAGTGAGTAAATGCGCCGACGTTAACGAAGGTAGGTTTGTTTTAAATATTGAATGATGTATTGTTCGCTTTATAATTGATTTTATTGCTGATCGTTGCGTATATTTTAAATGAAAAAGACATCATATAATTTTAGTGTTTCTTTATTGATTAACCTTTTTTACTATATTAAAATTTTTAAACTGAAAAGAAAGCAAAGTTGTTTGAATTCGAGAATTTGAAAATTAGATTTCAAGTTTTTCAATAAAGGCAGTTTAGTTTTATAAAGAACATTTTAAAAGTATTAAAACGTCTTGCGAAGCGTTTGAGGTTGAATTTTACCTTAATTAAATTGAAGCTTATGTACTGTTTAATAAACGAGCAGGATTGTTTTATTAGGTTTAAAGACACGAGCGCGCAGCGCGAGTGGCTTTAAACCTAATAAAACACGACCTGCGACTTTATTAAACGGCTTCAAACACGACTACAAATTCAATTGATATACTGCCTTATTACTATTCTTTATATAAAGAATACTAACGAGGACACCACCACAATAGATACTGCCTTATTAGTATTCTTTATATAAAGAATACTAATTAGGATTGTTTTATCAGGTTTGAAGCCACTGCACGTGACATATTATGGTTGACATGATTTGCCAATAAGCTTATGAATTATTAAAGAGTGTTTGAAATTACGTATAATAACCTACCTATATATATATAGGGTGTATAAAAAAAAACGCAATTCATCTTTTGTGCTCAATAACTTTCGAAATACTATTTCTAGTTAAACGCTTTTAGGCTTACTTCAAAGCCTGTTCTTTTCTCTTTCAAACAAACTATTATCCTTGTCTCCAATGCTAGTAATAATTGCACAGGAAAAGATTTAGTAAAACCTATAATTTTTAGTTGCTGTTTAATTATGCAAGTTTACTATATGTTACTGTTTAGTCGGTTTAAATGTTAGAATTTTCTTCGTTAAACTTTAATGTTGTCGTCACTACATCTGGAAAACCAAGTAAGAACAAATTAAAATTTTTTTTAAAAGAGACCAGGTGGTTTGAAAATCCTAAACGAATGCTAAAAATCGTCAAAACATTCTGGTGTCTGAGCCAGAGTGTCATCGAATTGCGATGTAATGTAAACAGAAATTATAGCAAGTTGATGTCAGTCAGCTTAGATGGTCCAAGCCGAAATTATATCGCATTTGAAGTTTCAAACTGAGTTAAAAATAGTGGAAGAAAAGCCGTAATTATACTTATTGTTACAATCCATTTAATAAAATGCAACATTTTTTGTTGCATGCCATATATGGCATGCAACTTTCATATAGCTCTAAATTTCGTGTCGTGGTGAGCGGTGGTGAGCGGTGAGCGTACCAGTCACGTGGCAGGTTGGTAAAATACGACAAATACCGAGTTTTTCCGACGAGCATTTTCATGCCTGGTTTTCGTCGAGGAAACGCAAAGAGTTGATTATTCGCCGAAAATTTACATAATTGAGCGCTTTAGAAAAGTAAATCGAGGTAGGTAAAGCTTTACTGTTTTTAGCTTATCTTATATTTTGTTATTTGTTGTTATTTTGGAGCCGTTGTGCTCGCACTGATTTATATTTATCAATTATCGGGCGTTTATATTTATATATCGTGAAAGCCTCAAAGCCGCGAACGCTATCAAAATACTCGATTTTTATATACTCAAACTGAAACGGGGCCATTGTGCTCGCACAGATTATATTGTGTCAAAGCTTCAAAACTACAGCACATTTTGTAAATAACATGATATATAAATATCAAACAAAATCTGAATTATAAATATTTTGAAATTTAATACAATTATACAACGAAATAGCAACCATTGTGAAGTACGCATAAGATTCAACATGACATTCAACATGACATTCGATATACTATAGTGTAAATAAACTCATTTCAATCACTCAAACGTCAAAATGATCAATAATAATCATTTTCAATCTATTATAGTAATTCACCGTTTTCACGGTTTTTTATACCTTTAAAGGTGCTGTCAAGTCCGTAATGTAAACAAACGCTTTGTTTACATTTCGAACTGCTATATTTGTAAAATATGATATACTAACTGAATATATAACACTGTTCTGGTTTAGTATGCTCGTAAATGAATATAAACCAGAGTTTCAATTCAGAAAAAGTTCAAAAGATGCGAAATTTGGGCAATGTTTACATCTGTGGGTCCCCCTTTGTTATGAGCAGAACCGCAAAACGGACTTGACAGCATCTTTAAAAAGTTACAATAAAGCTAAATTTAAAGGAAATAACATTATTTAGTTATAAATTTGATAAAACCTTGACCCACCTTGTCCTTGTTATTGTTATTATTACCGTCGCTTGCACGGTCGCTTAACGGTCGCTTATAAAAACATTGCCTATTCGCGTGTTTCTGCTGGGGTCTACACCGTATGCTAATTCGCGTGAGAATCTTAAGTTTTCTTATTTTGACATAATAGCTATTTTTCAATAAATATATTGATATTTTAAACTTATTGAATGATCAATATTTTAAGTTTCACGCCAGTTGTACCAAAGGTTTATGTAAACGCTGTAGCGCATAAGTTTCAGATGGCATGCAACATGTACGCACTGCGTACCTATTTTTTGTTTTAATGAAAAAATCAGTTATTTTCATGAGAACGATTTGTTATTCCATCTCAATTTTTTTAATCTCCAATCGCAATAACGTAAAGTATTATTACCCGCGAACCAATGAGTCAAATTTAAGAAACAACCCATTGTTAGAAAGCTGAATGGCTACGCTTTTAAAATGAATGTAAACTTTAACGTTTTCGTCTATTATTTGTTTAGCAATTTACATTTCAGTCGAGGATTGCGTTTTTTTTTATACACCCTGTATATATATATATATATATATATATATATATATATATATATATATATATATATATATATATATATATATATATATATATATATATATATATATATATATATATATATATATATATATATATATATATATATATTTGTATGTTTTGGGAATTAATAATCTTGTAATTTAAAGTGATATTTTTAGGAGATTTTTCATTTTTAAAAATATTCTTAACAAATTTATCGTACGCGTGTTACCATGACAATTTTTTTAAATACTTCATGTTCAGGAAGTAGAATGGTTTTGTCAGCAAGGCGTGGGGTTTCTGCATGCATATATTTTCTAGAATAGAATTAATATTAATATGGATACCTATACCTGCCTGTAATAACCATTAGGGCTAGATATCAGGCATATATATATAGCATTTATTTTAAATAAAATACTTTAAATACAAATGTATTTGTCGGCTGGACGAACACACACAACACACAAAATACACCTATACAGATAACAGAAAAAAAACAAGTAATTGCATTAAAAAATTTTTGCTTAATTTTAATTGACTATAACGATGACTTGACTAATATGAGTCAATGAAGCCCAATTTAATCCATTTTTTAATTGAGAAGCAGCTAAATTTACATCAACCTCATCAAGGGAGTTCCAAATTTTGGCTCCTTGATATCGAATATTAAAAATTCCATTATTGGTTCTACTTTTTAGCAATGAATATGATTTTTTCGATGCAAGTCTGGTGTTATGGGTATGTATTTTGTCAACAGAAATAAAAAGGTTATCGCATACGGATGCTAGTTCATGATGATAATACTTGTGCATATAAAAATAGTTATGTATAAAGTGAAGAGATTCGGAAACTTGACAAATTGGAATAACTTTAGCTATTTTTGAGCTGCTTGGTACTACTCCGTGTGAAAAAGAAGCATTGAATAGTATTTATAATGGTTTACATATAATGTACAGTACTTTAGAGTCTTGCCAATCTTTAAACTTTAGATTTAATTTTCAATATCTGTGAATGTTGTTGGGAATATATAAAAGCTATCATAGTACGATTTTTTCCAAAGAATGTGATGGTGATTTATTTACATTTGAAATAGAGATTGCACGCTGACTCCCAATATTACCAAAGTATTTTGAAAATGAATCAGCCATTGACTTTGAATCAATTATTTCACAGTTACCAACTTTGATATTTGTTGGCACAGATCAATTAGATTTTGGATTTAAATGTAAAATCTGCTTAATACCTTTCCATATGAATTTACTATTATTAATATTTTAATTATAAGCAAAATAATATTGTCTTTTACTAGCACGTAGGAGATGATTTACCTTATTCCTATAAAATTTGAATCTAGTATAGTAATAAGATGAATTAGTTCTTAGGTATTTCCTATATAGCTTATTTTTAGCCTTAATGGAATTTCTGATGCCCGGTGTTAACCATGATTTAGATTTAACTCTCATCTCTCTTTTAGTTACAGGTAAACTACGTGAAGCGTTCATCTTTTGAGTTCCTAACACATTTGGAATTTTCAAATCTTTGCAAATCCCTGAGGGAATTTGCAATTTTCCTGTCGGCCGTTGCAATATTCCAACACAAAGAAAGTTCCTTTCAAATTTCCCTAACTCCCTGTTTTAATTTCCTGACTTCTTTTTCTGTTCTGAGCGTTACCATTGAGGGATTATTTTTGTTAGCCAATTACAACGCGCAGAACAGAACAGAAATTTAGGAACTTGTAACAGGAAGGTAAGAACTTCTAACAGGAACTGAGGAAAATTTATTTGGCTCTTAAGAACATTGCAAATTCCCTCAAGGGATTTGCAAGGGAGTTTTTCAAATTTACTAAGGTAATGAGGAAAATTGCAATCATGTTGGGGACTTAAAAGAGGAACGCTTCACGTAGTTTACATGTAATTGTTTAATGGGAATATGCTTATCAACAATTTCCAATATACAATTATAGAATGAGTCAAATAATTCTGAAGGATTAGAAGTTTGAGATGGTAATAATGCATCCCAGTCAACTGACTGTACCTCTGAAATCAAGGCATATGTTCATTACATTTTGAATAGTCCCTCTTAAAAATCTTTACTTTACTTGGTAATATCGAAAATTTGTTATAGTTAGGAAATGGGATAAATGATCTGTAAGGTGATATATTATATTGCCACTAATGGTGAATTGTTCAAGCGAGTTAATTAAAGAAGATATTGTCAATAAACCTTGCAGTATGATCAGTTATTTTAGTTGGTTGTAAAATATATAGTTGAAAAATGGGATTCAAAATTTGGGATCCAGAATGGGATTCAAAATTTCAAAGATCCAAATTAAAACCTCCCATAATTGTACAGTACATATTTTCCCCGTGAATCCTATCAATAATCGTGTTTAGATAATCTTGAAACACTTCTAAATTTCCACAAGAATAAAATTTACTTTAGCCTACCTTAGTCTACCTTTGATGACTGTGGACTATTTTGAGGTGCCTGAGATCACCTTATCTAAGTTTGGATTGCTTCCAACTAACCTTAGACAATATTTCCTTAAACTGCCTTATTAGACTCTCGTACTTAGCATTTACCTTAAAAAAATTCATTAATACTTTATGGATATTACCGGCTATCACACTGTGGATAAAAATCACATGCATACACTTTTTCTGTTTGGATATACAACAGGGTGTAAAAAAATATGCACTGCGTACATGTGGCTAGCCTATTCAGCTTGTCGAATACAGCTGGAGTTCACATTGTCATGAACAGTCATCACAAACATTCATTGTGATAAAAAATTGATAATTACAATAGAAGAATGGTCAAAATAAAACAGATGCAGGATCTTTCTTACAATGCCAACAAACAACCACAATCACTCGATTTAAAAGCAATGGTTGGCAGCAATGGTCCCCCCCCCAATGGCGCAGGCAACAATATTATCGAGTCACACTTTAATTAATTAATATTTTGCTTTAATAATAGGCATATATACAGCAACTAATGATGTCACTTTTATTGTTTTTCAAAATTTCACTATTATGTAATTCACTAAGATTTCATTACATGGGTTTCTTGTTACACATTTTTTCTGGTGTCTGGTTTACAAGTTATTAGCATTTCTTGAATTATTGGCATCGCAGATTTCATAAAACCTTTAAGCTATTAAGCTGCAGAGCTTCCCCATTGACGAGTAAATTCGTCTGGCATTAGACAAGTAAAAAAAAGTAGGGCGCAGTGGGTCGCAGTGGGGCGCATTGCGGCTCACAGGCTTAAATTACAAGTTCTTCATTAATACAATATTTAGCACTAGATATCTAAACATTTTTTTCTTTATTGTAATATCTAAAAGCATCGGAATTTATAATGAACTCATCCAATCAATTTTGACCTCACCAATAAAACTATAGTCTGATAGTTGTATTGCCCTGATACTTGAATATTCTGATCTTCCTATATTATCCAATATTACCACCAGTCACCATATTATCAGCAAACTGGCCGGAAAATGTAGTTGTTTGAAGTACTGTAGATGTCATGCATCACTATGATTTTGAATTGGGCTTTTATCTGCAAATTGTTTAAAATTAAAACCAAATATTTACTGGCAGATTATAAGTATGAAATATTGTAAATGATGCAGGTATTAATTTGAACAACATTTAACGCTAGCTATGAAAGTATGAACATGCTACCCAATTGACACTGCTGTTATTAAATGCTGAGAAGAAAGGTCGAAACTTGTCGATATGACCTGAGCACATTATGGCCGTGGGTTTGCTTTTTCATATTCCCTCACACCTGTAAGGGTCAGTGTTGTATAGTGATTGCACTGATCTTCATGGAGATGGGCGTAGCAAAGCATCTGACATTGGGGGAGGGGGGGGGGGGATTTGTCGAAGGATTTTACCAAAAACCTGAACTTGGCAATGTTAAAAATCTACCTGGAGTGTAATAATTACAATAGAGCTTTTTCTGATTGATTTCCACTGTTATACTAAATTTTCTAAGGAAAGGGGGTGTAGGGGTCCTCCTCCAGGAAATTTTTAAATTTTTGAAGCTCCAGAACTGCATTTCTGGAGTTTTCTAAAGCACGTTTGCAAAGGAATTGGATCTAAATTGACTGTATCAAAAATGGTTGTCATTTCACAAAAATAACAACTCTATTATATAAATTTTACCTGAAAATGTCAAAATTTATACTTGAATTTCACAGTCTCACAGTTGTGGGGGTTTATACCCCACACCCCCTGTCGCTATATCCCTGCCGACCTTATATCAGATATTATTTACATCCGGACGAATATTCAAACATAAACTGCACCTACAGTTGCATTTTTCGCAGCTGTTCCTCGTTAAGTCTAATGAATTTAAATTTAAAATTTATTTCTCATGTATAAAAATATACTTAAAATATATTACAATAATCTGAAGATTTTGGGCTAGAGACCTACTAGAAATCTTCATAGACTTTTTATTTTAGGTCTCTAGTTACTGTTCGTTTTATCACATAATCGATTATTTGCAGTCAGTAAATACATAATATGTAAAATCAGAATGTTTTCAAGTATAAATACTATATTTACAAGAGAGAAAAAGAAGTGAGAATGTTCGTATTAGTAATGTTGTAGATGCATTTAATTTTACAATGTCAATGACTGGGCTACAATAGACTAAAGAGTAAAGTATATGTCATTATATACATTAGAGAAGTAAGTTTTATATATTGGTAATTGTGTATAGCAAAAAATGTTGTTTAATTTTCTTTTTAAAGGTGTTATATGAGTTTACTTCATTAAGTTTTGTTTCTAACGAATTCCATAAACCAAATAGCTCCTTTATTTTAGAGAGTGTGTTTTACATAATTTGTTCTTTTATAACATTTGTGAAGTTTTGATGCATTTCTCGTGTTATGTTCATGAATTTGGTTATTTGTTACAAAATAATTTTTAAAGGAATCTGGTTAATTGTTAAGGTGATGGTATCAAAACATAAATAAGGCAGTTAAATAGTCATTGATTTTGAAAATGTCTAGGATATTTAAATCTTTGAAAATTGGCTCACTGTGCTCTAAATAAGACTTTAGAAATTCATTAGTCGTACAATGTTTGTAACATCCGGGAGTTAGCACTTCCGGCGGGAAAAAACAGGCACCTCGAGGAGAACTAGACAGCTGTATTAACAAGGGAGTTTTACTTAGCATAGTTGGGTTTTAAGGTTAAAATACTACATTTGGCGACGAGATAAAATGGCAAATCATGGAAAACTAGAAGAATATGACTCACAAGAGGAATGGAGTCAGTATATTGAGCGGTTGGAATTTTATTTCGAAGTAAATGGCGTGGACGACGAAGATAAACAACGAGCGATATTATTAAGTGTTTGTGGTAGCAAGACATATAAGTTGATTCGGAACTTAACCACGCCGAATAAACCGTCAGAGAAGACGTTTGCAGAGCTAGTAGAACGTGTACAACAACATCAACACCCAAAACCGTCGGCAATAGTGCAACGATTCAAGTTTAATACTTGGTTCAGGAAACCTGGTGAGTCAATTGCTTCGTATGTAGCTGAATTAAGAAGTCTTTCAGAACATTGTGATTTCAAGAGTACCTTAGAAGAGATGTTACGTGATCGGTTGGTGTGTGGAATAAATGACGAACAGATTCAGCGTAGATTGTTAGCAGAAAGTTCTCTCGACTTTAAGAAAGCCATGAAAATAGCTACATCAATGGAGACTGCAGTAAAGAATTCACGATATTTGACACATCAGATGGCCAATGCAAATATAAATACTGAGAAACCTGCAACATTACACCGTGTGGACAACCAACGACAAGGAAACCAACCATGGTCAAAGCCTGAATGTGGTCGGTGTGGGGGTAAACATGACCCGCAACAATGCAAATTTCGCGATGCTGAGTGTTTCCTGTGCCACAAGAAAGGACACATAGCAAGAAAATGTCGAAGCAACACTAAGGCGACTGGGAAAAATCAACGAAACGACAACCCTAACTCAGGCACTAGCAGCAACTATTTAAACATGAAGAATGACGAGATCGAAGAGGAAGACGACAACTATGGGATTTATAGTCTGGACAAAGGGCAAACTGAGCCATATGTTGTTGATGTACTGGTGAGCAATGAAATTCTAAAGATGGAAGTAGATACTGGTGCTGCAGTTAGTGTAATGAATGAGGATACATATACATTATTGAAGAAAAAACACCCAATCCTAGAGCTGAAGGAATCAAAGGTCAGACTAAATACCTTTAGTATAATTACATAGGTGATTATTGAAAATTCTCCACGCTGATTGGTTGCCGTTGAGGTGATTATTACGCGATAATCACCTGAGCGATTTTCAAAATGGCGGTCGAAGCCGTTTTGTCAATTAAATGACGAAGAAATGTGCATTTTAAAATTTGTTTCCAAATAATCACCTATGAAATTATACTAAAACAATTATTCACCTCAGGCTCGGTGATTATCGTAAATAAAAACCTCGACTTCGTCCCGGTTTTTATTCACCGATAATCACCTCGCCTTCGGCGAATAATTGTTAATTAGTATAATTACATAGGTGATTATTGAAAATTCTCCACGCCGATTGGTTGCCGTTGAGGTGATTATTACGCGATAATCACCTAAGCGATTTTCAAAATGGCGGCCGAAGCCGTTTTGTCAATTAAATGACGAAGAAATGTGCATTTTTAATTTTTTTTCCAAATAATCACCTATGAAATTATACTAAAACAATTATTCACCTCAGGCTCGGTGATTATCGTGAATAAAAACCTCGACTTCGTCTCGGTTTTTATTCACCGATAATCACCTCGCCTTCGGCGAATAACTGTTAAATACGGGAGAGCAAGTTAAAGTTTTGGGTCAGCTGAAGACTTCGGAGAAGTATGAAGATCAAGAAGGCGTATGGCCTTTACTAGTCATAACGGGGAAGGGCCCTAACTTGATTGGCAAAAATTGGCTCCAAAAGATTAAAATAAATTGGAAGAATTTATTTCAGTTAAAAGAGGACAAGAATACCTCAGTCAAAGTTAATAAGTTACTTGAGAAGTATGAGAACGTGTTTCATGAAGAGTTAGGAACATTTTCTGGTCCCAAAGCCAAAATATATGTGGCTGAGGATGCAAGTCCAAAGTATTACAAGGCAAGACCTGTTCCCTATGCATTGAGGGAAAAAGTAGAAAAGGAGTTAGAAAGATTGCAAGAAGAGGGAACTATAGAGCCTGTCCAGTTTGCACATTGGGCAGCGCCAATCGTACCAATCGTTAAGGATGATAAGTCGATAAGAATTTGTGGGGATTATAAAGTAACTGTCAACCAAGCTGCAAAGTTAGACAATTACCCGATTCCCAAGGCAGAAGATCTTTTTGCCACTTTAAGTGGTGGAGAGAAATTCACCAAGCTGGATATGAGTCAAGCCTATCAACAAATCTTATTGCAGGATGAATAAAAAAAATATAACACCATCAACACACACAAAGGACTTTTTCAGTACAATCGATTGCCATATGGAGTGTCCTCGTCCCCTCGGATTTTCCAGCGTACTATGGAAAACCTACTGCAGGTGATTCCTTTCGTGGTTGTGCGAGTGGATGATATTTTGGTTTCTGGTTCGAATGATGAGGAACATTTAGCAAATTTAAAAGAAGTTCTAAAACGGTTGTCAGAGCACGGGTTACGCCTAAAGAAGAAGAAGTGTGCCTTCATGGTGAACGAGGTGGTGTATTTAGGCCAGAAGATAAATAGCCAAGGAATACAGTAATCCAAGAGAAAGTCAGAGCCATCACCAATGCACCGGCACCGACGAATGTGTCTGAAGTTCGATCATACTTGGCAATGATCAACTATTACCAAAAGTATTTACCAAATTTATCAACGATTCTGGCACCACTGCACAGCCTGTTGGAAAAAGGGAAAAGTTGGAAATGGAGTGAAGAGCACCAAGAGGCATTTAGAAAATCCAAAGAGTTATTGAAGTCCTCACATCTATTGGTGCATTACGACCCGGAGAAGGAGTTAATACTGGCTTGCGATGCCTCACCATATGGCTTGGGGGCTGTTTTGTCACACCGAATGGAAGACAACACAGAACAACCAATTGCATTTGCCTTGAGATCACTGTCCGCAGCTGAAAAAAACTATTCTCAACTAGACAAAGAGGCGCTAGCCATCGTATTTGGTGTCAAGAAATTTCACCAGTACGTGTATGGTCGACATATCACCATACTGACAGATCACAAGCCGTTTGAGCGGGTACTTCATCCGGATAAAATGACACCACCAATGGCTGCAGCTCGAATTCAGCGGTGGACCTTAATTTTGTCTGCATATGACTACGTCATTCAGTACAAAGAAGGAATTCAGAATGCAAATGCTGATGCCCTCAGTAGATTACCATTGCCAGACACCCCAGGTTCAACACCAGTTCCTGAAGAAACAATCTTACTCATGGAACTATTGGAGACTACTCCAATCAGAGCAGAGCAAGTGAAGAACTGGACAAAGAGAACTCCTATACTTGCTAGAGTTTTGAAATTTATTAAACAAGGTTGGCCTAGCAAGTGTCCAGATGGGGAGTTTCAACCATATTTTCAACGACGAGACGAGCTGAGTGTTCAAGACGACTGTATACTTTGGGGGAACAGAGTGGTTGTTCCACCCCAAGGAAGAAGGCAAGTGGTTGACGAATTACATGAAACCCACCCAGGAATATGTAAGATGAAAAGTCTAGCAAGAAGCTACGTGTGGTGGCCAAACATGGATAACGATTTGGAAAACAAAGTACGAACGTGCAACAACTGCCAGATAAATAGAAAGAATCCTCCTGACGCTCCTCGTCATGGTCGATGCGTACTCAAAATGGCTCGAAGTACATCCAACGAATGTGGAAACATCGAGAGCAACAATTGAAAACTTCGATCAACATTTGCAATCCACGGTCTTCCTACAACAATCGTTAGTGATAACGGTAGTAATTTTTGCTGCAAAGAATTCGAGGAATTTCTGGCGGAAAACGGCATTCATCACAGAAGGACTGCACCTTATCATCCAGCCTCCAATGGACTTCAGAAAGGGCGGTCCAGACGTTCAAGGATGGGATGAAGAAGATGTGAAATAACGAAAGTTTGGAAACCAGAGTATCTCGGTTTCTCTTCAAATACCGTATCACGCCACACTCAACCACAGGGAAAGCGCCAGCGGAAATGCTTATGAGCAGAAAACCAAGATCTCGCTTGGACGTCCTACATCCTGATGCAAGACAAAGAGTACAGAACCAACAGAAGAAGCAGAAAGAGTTACACGATCAACATGCAGTGGATCGACAATTACGACCAGGTGACTTAGTATATTCGAGAGAATTTTGAAAACATCAAAAGTGGTGTCCAGCAGTTATCAATACACAAACCGGGCCAGTTTCTTATACCATACAGTTGGAAGACGACCGGGCAGTTCATCGTCATCAAGATCAGGTGATTCAAAGAGAAATACCCGAAGAAAACGAATATGACGCCATGGATCCAGATCTCAACGAGCAACCCGTTCCAGACCAACAAGTGGTTAGCGAAGAAAATGCAGTTCCAGCAACCCGATATCCGCAAAGAGATAGACAGACACCGGACTATTATTCGTGAGTAATTACATTAATTTTAGAGTATAAAACACTAATGGATTATAAACTGTTAGGTTAGAGTGTTGACATTATTAGTTTAGTCGTTATGTTGCAGGGACTCTGGTTTTAATCCAGGGAAAAAGGAGTATAACATCCGGGGGTTAGTACTTCCGGCTGAAAAAACAGGCACCTCGAGGTGAACTGGACAGCTGTATTAAAAAGGGAGTTTTACGTAGCATAGTTGGGTT